AAAATCATGTGCCATGCTTCATTGCTTTTTTTTTCTTTTTTTTTTTTTTTTGGGGGGGGCACTGCAAGGAGTAGAGGGAGGTGACAGAGGAACAGGAAGGGAGAGGGAACAGGTTTGCGGCGTGAAAGAATAAAAAAGGGCCATGACGGGCGCGAGGAACGAACCTTCATATTTGCCGGGAATCAGATCTGAGTGAGAGCATCCGAGATGAGAAAACTCTGATGATGAAACACGACCCTGTCCTCGCCACCACCCAGAGAGGAAATAGTCACACCGGGTAAGAAATAATTTATAGCAATAACGTTAAAAAAAAACGTTTAAAAAAATAGAAAAAGGAAAAGCAATTATCAAACCAACTAATTAAATAAACACGAGGAACGAACGACAGCCCCAAGGCCAGTGAACTGCCATAAGAGGAAATCACACAATCATCTTCCTCCTTATCAGTGCATGCATGTGGTTTATCACAATGCGAGAGATATGACAATTCAAATTTCAAAGAAAGCCTACAACTCAGAGATAAGAACATCCGTGGTCCATCATTACCCAAAAAAAAAAAAAAAAAAACTCCGATGATGAGCACACACACACACACACACACACACACAACAAGCTGCAGAGGAGAAGCCATCATATTCCTCAAGTCTTTATTTTTTTGCAGAAAAAGATACTTGAAGGGAAATAGGCATCTATCTATATTAGTCGTGGCCCAAGGGGTTTGAACTCTTGACCTAGCCATCGAATTTCCGATTGCTGAGGTCAATATTTCCAAAAACGCTCCTTGACAAGGAGGACAGCACCACAATTTGTCTTCTAAGAACCTCAGACACACTGACAAAATGTGACAATCGCATGCAAATACTGGTCTTAAAAAAAAAAAGAAAAAAAAAGAAAGGAACCCTGGTCTTTCCTCTCAAAACAAAAAATAAAAAATAACAGTGAAAAAACACACAGCTTTTGTCAAATGTCGAACGGGGTTTGAACTCATGACCTACTGAGTTACAAATTGATCATGTATGTATTATGTACTATGTACCATTCAGCAGCTAGCAGCAAAGACCAAAACAACATACTTCCCTCTCTGGCCACGACTCCCCACCTCGTCCATAACCGTTTTTCATTCTTTTGGAAAACTTAGATATTGTGACTTTCTCTATTCGTTGGCTGAGTACTCTCACCCTTCGTTTTCCTTCTTTCATGCACTTTCTGCCATTATCCATCAACATTCATCCATCCCCCTCCATCCATCCATCCATCCATCCATCTTCCTGCCTTTGTTCATTCCTCGATTACTGCATACCGTCTTTTCCCTCCAATAGATTGTATGGTCATTTTTAAGCTGTATGTGGGGTGAGGGTCTGTCCAGATGCAGCGATAATGACAGTACATTCTATTCGAGGGAAGACGGTTGTCCATCCACTCATCCACTCATCCATCCATCCATCCAACTTATTTTTTTTTCGACCAATTCTCGATTCATTTGTGTCCTCCTTGCGCAGCGGCCATGCTAATCTCGTCTGTATCGTTCCAATTTGAACGGATGCCCCGAAGGACCCTCGTTCCAATTTTACTGGATGTCCCCAAGAACTTTCCTTTTTCTATTTCCTTCTTTGAGTCATTCACTCTTGCTTATCAATTCGTCCATCCACTCATTCTTCCATCCATCAACTTCATTGACAGATTGGTTCGCATTCTAAAAACCCCCTTACACTCACACTCCCATCCCTCCCTCCCTCTCCCACCAATCCCTCCCTTCCCCATCCATCCTCCCTCCCTCCCTCCCTCCCTCCCTCCCTCCCTCCAACAAAGCCATAGATCCACTCATCTATCCATTCATCCATCCATCCATTGACTTCATTGACTGCTTGGTTCACATTCCAAAACCCCCCTACTCACCCACTCCGCCGTTCATTCCTCCATCCCTTCGCCATCCATCCATCCATCCATCCACCCACCCACCCATTCGTTTATCCATTCTCTCAAAAGAGTAGCCGATAGCCAACTCTTTAGTGCGCAAATTAGTTATGGCTTTTTTTTTTTTTAAGCAGCTAAATGTGCCTGAATACCTTGAGAAGCGTAAGGCCACGGTGCAAGGTTATCGTCTCAGGAGCCAAGCTGCTAGCAATTGCCTGCATTACCACATGGCCAATATAAACCACCATCAAATTGCAGTGATGCGTACAAGTCAATGAGATTAAAAACCAAAAAGAAGAAGGGAAAAAAAAAAAGCTCAGATCAATCAGATGCAATTTTTCATATCTTCTTCGAAACATTGAAAATTGAAAAACACAAGGTCCAAAATCATCCGTATGTGGCCCTGAAATAGCTATAAATACAGTTATTTAAACTTATTTTGATGACAAGTGGATCATACCCCTCTGTACATAGCCAAACGGCCACCACCTACTCCTCAATCCATTACCAGTTTACTACATATCTTTTTTGTTGTTTTTTCTTTTGGCGGCACACCTCGGTGCGCGGATTTGTGCACGAATTGCACACCGCACAGCGCACCGAAGCGCAGCGCACTGGAAAAATTAGGTCCACAAAAAAAAGAAAAAAGAGAGTAGGGGTTTCGTAATTTCTTAGCCCCCCCCCCCCCCCCAACTCGGCAAAAATGTTAAACTCACCGCGTGAGCTCGGAAACCGGCCGCGTCCCCAGCTCGAAATTTTTTTTTGGGTAAGGGCTGCCAAATTTCGATTTCCGCAGGCCCTTCCCCCAAAAGTTTCAGAATGGCGAAGCATAAAATACTTTTAAAATAGGGCTCATTCCATCTTTTTTTTTTAGGCGGGGTACGAAAGATGTTCTTCCCGATCCCTTCTGCAAATCCCACAGAGTGGTGGGGTAAGTTCGCAAGAAGGGGTAGTCGCCTGATAACGACCTGCCCCGCGAAACTTCGCAGAGATCACAAGTTGCGTTTTCTATGGCCAGCTGACCACCAATATATGCTGAAGATTGGCGTTCAGGTCTGCATGTCGGCAGTTATGGGTTAGGATGAAGATGTCCATGGCTCTCTAGTTTTCTTGTTTTTGTTTTCTTACGAATACGTCCAGCGGGGCCTGCTCCACTACTCACCAAATGCACAAAAGACATAGCATATGGCGGTGTATGGTTCCATGTTTTAGCAGAAGATTCATTCTACTAACATTGTATACATTTGGTGAGTGGTGGAGGGAGGCCCTGAGAATCACGTGGAGACACGAACAGGGTCTAGCTGAACTGGTGACCCATAACTGCCGAGCTACAGCCCTGAACTCGAATCCACAGCATATATTGGTGGTACATGACGAGGCCATCCTTCTCATTGAAGCAGCGGCCCTCAATGGCTCCACATGCGTTGTAAGAGCCATTCGAGGTACCTGCAGGGGCCCTCGAATTGACATAAAAGGGACCCTTTGTTGTCTCTCTCTCTCTCTCTCTCTCTCTCTCTCTCTCTCTCTCTCTCTCTCTCTCTCTCTTTTGGGGACTGTCTTTTTTTTCTTTTTTTAATCGCGCACATAGCGCACCTCCCTCAGCGCGTGCACCGCGCACAGTGTGCGCGCTGTCATTCCAGCGCACAGCGCAGTGCGCACCGCCCCGCAGCGCAATGCACACTGGTGTGCCACAACTATGATATATATATCATCACATGGATATGAAAGCGCAAAAGCGAAAAGAAAAAAAGAAAAAAGAATGAATTCGTTTTTTTATATCTTCTTCCTTAAACTCCCCCTGTTCAGAACCTCTTGCGTACAAGGCCGCCCACGGGGATGTAGGTTGAGCTGCGGCTGCCCCCACCCCCGTGTGTCATATCGACCCACTTGCACACAGCCAAAAGGCGAAGAGGCAAAGAAAAGAGGAAGGGAACAGCCAAATAAAACAGAACAGGGGGCAACAAAAGAGAGATGTCCAAACATTCTTGTCTGCAAAAAAAATCAAAAAAAGCTCCGATCCCAGTGTGACAACCAAAAGGAAAGAAAAGACAATCCCGGATGACGATTCCCACATACAAGCACCGCCCCACGCTCAAAAGGCCGAACAATGGGAAACAACCAACCAGGATGTCCAATAACAAAATCGAAGCAGACAAGATTAAAACAAATCCTAAATGACAATCCTAGATGACGAGTCCCACATGCAAACACCGCCCCCGGCAACTATATACATATATAGTTAAACTTGACTAACGCAGTTCTCATCTTTAACAAAGACATTTCAGTGAGCTGCACACCATCAGCCCAAGCCCGTTCCACGCCAGACAATATGTCAGCCAATGCGCTATGCGATTTCTTCGCCTGAATTACATACGAGGCCATCCCATTGCATTGAAGGCATACTCACAATAACACTTTTCTAAATGTATTTGACTGCAATTATGGCCACACCGGGATGAATCTCACTGCAATCATGTCTAGAGCTTGGTCCAAGAAGTCCCTGTGTGAGTAATGAATGCCCTGAGACAGTAAAACAATTGTGACAGGCAGAAACAGCCACCTCAGCCGCACACAGCCTCACTGTCTCCAATTGAAATAAGTTCGGAGAACTTGGGATCCATTACTCACACAAGTGCAGTTACTCTAGTTACTGTCTCAGGGCATTCATTACTGCAGCCAAACAATCCAAACAATCGCATTCTTCAATTTGCACTTCGATCCATTCCTCCCAATATTGTAGACCACATCCCTGCAGTAATAATCCCGTCACTGCAACTGCAGCTTGAATTGCATCCCACTCGCTGCACTAACTGCAGTAATAACTGCTGCTGCTGTAACTGCAGTAATAACTGCTGCTGCTGTAACTGCAGTAATAACTGCTGCTGCTGTAACTGCAGTAATAACTGCTGCTGCTGCTAATGCAACTGACAGGCTTCGGTAGTGTGACCCACCTGACCTGGCCCTTTGATATGATAGACATATTTTCGTATATATCCCTTACGGGATATGAACCCGTGTCTTTGCCATCGGAAAGCGATGTCCTTTACCCCCCCCCTTAGACGAAAGGGATGATGAATTTTCATACAATTGTTACAGCATTTTGTGATACATCGCAGTCACTCCCTTCGCTGACCAGCTTTTCTAGTAATTCATTATTTCATTTTAATGTAGCATTAATTTGGATATCTATTTCATTCTCATTTCTTTTCAATATGGACCGTTCATTTCAAAATGATTTTGAAGATGATACACTGGAATTGCATTGTTTAAAACTTCAAATTTTTAAAACCACCACTTCAACGGCCCCTGCACTGTTCAATTTTCCTGTCATCAAGTTCCATGCCGAAATCTACAGTGCCCAGGCCCCGTCAAAAGTTCTTATTTATCTTTTTTTTCTTTTTTTTACGTGCACTTCTTTTAATCAACATGGATTTCTGTTAGTCAACGTGAATTGGTACCACTTTATTTCCACCCCAAACACAACACCCTGTTGTCATTACAGCTGTATGTATTTAGTGCAAATTTCAGGGCCAAATACAGATATGATGACTGGGCATTGTGTTCCCGGGAAGAAAGGTAGCGAACATGCATTTCTACTAGTCAATGTGCATTTCCACTACCGTCTTCACCTGAATAGGGCGCCCACTCATTATCACTTTATCTAGACTCAAAGTTGCGCCAGATACAGCTATAATAACCGGGCGTTCTGTTTAAATTTCATTTAGAAAGAACCACACACACACACACAGAAGGGAGAGAGGGGGAAGAGGAGGAGCTGTGGGCAGGGGGCGAGGGGGTGCGACACAGAGAGAGAGAGAGAGAGAGAGAGTATATGCTAACCGCTCAATTAAAACAGCGGTGGGACTAAAACCAATCTGTAAATGAAGCCTATCTGTAAATACGAAAGGTAAAAAAAAAAAAAAAAAAAAAAAAAAGATATCCTCCTGTCTCAACTGTGTTTCTTCCTGTGTGAACTGTATTAACAGCTACGGTAGCATAGAGACAAAAGGGGAGTTGGGGGAAGAAAAAGGAGGAGAAACAAAGATTTCGCTAAGAAGATAAAACAGGTGTGGTTCACAAAAAAAAAAAAAAAGAATAGAGAAAGATTAACAGATTGTGGATCAAAGAGAAGTTTTCATTAACAAGCAAATATGTATATATCGTCACAAACAGTTCTGCCCGGTAAACCGTAGGCAGAGAGAGAGAAGAGGACAACAAACGAGGGGCTGTGACAAACTGTTTCGTCGGAGTTTGACCGACTCATCAGGAGGCTGAACCCTCAACAGTCTGCAGAATCCCCTCACTGATTACACTGTAAATGATAATCTACCTTAACCAAAATCAAAGTAGACTATCACTCACCCACACCAGATGGAAAACTCTACAGACTGTCGGTTCACACCCCATCACAAGCCAGCAAAACATCCATGAAACAAAGAAAGGTCTGTCACAGCCAAAAAATACACTCCAGACACGCCGCTGGCACTAGAGGCACAGCACTATATATATCGTCAAACATATATGTATAGAAAATAAAAAGAATACCGCTCCCTCCGCAAGGGACAGCATACTCCACACACCTCTGTCGACAAAACTTCCCGCGCAGGCACAGCAGAGGGAGATGAACCACCATCTCTTTCGTCATCTGCTGGAATCAACTTCTCCGCCTGCAATCGAACACACCACAGACGGACAGGATCAGCACACCACAGAAGAAAGAACATAGTTTAGAAACATCTTGTCCACTCCCTCGTTTATTTATCTATTTATTAAATCATTTGTTTATTTATTTATTTGTTTATTTATTTATTATTAAATTATTTATGTATTTGGACAGGATCAAGACACCACAGAAGAACGAACATAGTTCAGAAACATCCTGTCCGTTCCGTCATTTAATTTATTCGTTTATTTTCTTGCAGTCGAACACAGTGGGGAAGTCAGGACAAGATAACACAAGAAAGAAGTTTGAACATATTTTACCCCTCTATTTGTTGGAGAACTGGAATAGACTGAAAAAGAATACTCATCTTGCAGATCCCAAAAACAAAAAAAAAGAAAAAAAAACAAAAAAACAAAAAAACAAATAAACAAAAAAACAAAAAAAGAAAGAGAGACGAAAAGGATCGTAAAGATGTCTCTGTACTCTACTCGGGCGATTCCATGCACTTCACTCCCTAATCCTTTATTTTCCCCCCAATCTTCTTCTTCTTTTTTTCAATCTTCTTTTCCCTAATCCTTTTTTTCCCCCCCAATCTTCTTTTTGTTTTCAATCTTCTTTTCTTTTTCAATCCTTCGTGTTTTTTTATTTTCTTTTTTCGTTATCAATCTTCCAATTTTTTTCAATCTGTTTATTTAACTCTACTCGGGGGATTCTGTGAAGGAAGAAGGAAGAAAACAATGGCCCTTGCTTTCTTGCTTTCTTGCTTCTCCCTTCTTCTACATTTCCAATCTCCTTTTTTTTCCATATTCTTTTTTTTCAATATTCTTTCTTTTTCAATTTTTTTTTTTTCAACTCTACTCGGGAGATTCTGTGAACTTGGCTGCCTACGCAAAAGTGGAGGGGAAAAAAAGAAATCGCCGCATCGGTTAAGGCGAAGCTATGTCCGAGCCGGCGAGCTTTACGGCTGCCGACACGTGTTATCTCCTCTGCTCGGTATGCCCTTTCTATCTGTTTATTTATTTATTAGTTTATTTATTTATTAGTTTATTTATTTATTAGTTTATTTATTTATTAGTTTATTTATTTATTAGTTTATTTATTTATT